ATCTCTATAACACATTATGAACATACATATAATGCAAACACTCAATTAAACAGAAGAAATAAAATCCTCCTTGATAATAGCTCGAAGTATAGCCGAAAGCGCTCGGAACTATATAACATTTGGACAGTTTCTACACACTCTGTGCCAAGAAAGAACGCACAATTAAATAAAAAGCCTAACCGTAGTACCTTGTCTGTCGTTTTTAATGAAACATGCATAAATGAAGGATTGTTGCCTAAATACACAATATATATATATATATATACATTAAGTTATATATGGAAAAATATATATTAACATGTATGAACGTGTGTGCATGAGTAGTAAGTAGCAAATCTGTGGAGGTGCTGAAAAATTCTAAGCTTGATTCATATTTAGAATCTGGAAATTCTTGATCAGACCAAGAACACTACATTACATAGATAGATAGATAGATTGATAGATAGATAGATAGATAGATAGATAGATAGATAGATGCAAACCATGAATATATGCTAAGATGCAATAAGAAAAAGTAAACTCCAGCGGTGGCACGGTAGAGTTATGGATAGAGTTAAGGATTGGGGAATCGGAGAGCCGAGTTCGAATTCCAGTCGAATATATTACATTCACTTACGTGTTAATACAATTGGAAAAAGTATGAATCCTCTTCTTCCGCCAGCTATGGGTAAATAGCAGGAGAGACCGAGTTCTATAGCTTTGGATGGCAACTGGTCTACCGCAGAAAGAAAAAGCAACCTACTGCTGGAAAAAATCTGCCTCGTCAGTCATGTATCGAAAGATACATGATTGCGTAAACGTGTATCATGAATGACACATAACTGACTGAAACTACACTAGTAACATTTTTTTAAGGGCTTCAACACTTTTGATGATAAGCTTCTGGTACGTTTGACCCACAAACAATTTTTGGTGGACTCATGTACATCAAAAGGAAAAAATAAGACATAGAATTTCAACAAGGAAATATTAACAAATATATTGCTAGGACATTATAAAAAAAGAAATAGGAGAAATGAAGTGAAAGATGAAGAGTTCAAAGCATGGAAGATATGAAATACTTCTTTGTCGTTCTTGCTATTGAGAAATGACCATTGCTTTGAAAATCTCCATTGAAAATCCTGGCTATTACCTGTGTTCCATCAACGTCCGCTGACAGATATGCAACAAAGCCCGAAATACATAAAATTTAATCGGGTAAGTACAAAACAAAAGAATGAAAAAGGCGCGTCAAAGAGGAATGTGTAAGAACGAACAAAACCGAATCTAGTCGGAGAAAATAGATTTTAAAAATTCAACACAAATAATAAAAAAGAATCAGATTAAAATGTGAACCGTGGGAATCCAGCTTTGGGATTGAAATTTTCAGCCAATCATCACAAGTATATACGCTGAATGGCGGGAAATGACATTTGGCTAACGGCATCTTCAGCGCAATCGACTGTTCAAATCAATTTCACCATTTCCCGACCAGCCATTCTGTAACGGCTGTAGTAATTCTTTTCCCGCCTGGAACTTTTCTCTTTACAAACCTCTCCACTCTTCTTTCCTTTCTGTTTTTTAATTTCCTCTCTATTCCATGTATCTTAGTTTATTATCTATCTATCTATCTATCGTAGTCCATTATCTATCTACCTTTCTATCTCAGTCTGTTTCTATCTATCTATCTATCTATCTATCTATCTATCTATCTATCTATCTATCGTAGTCCATTATCTATCTACCTTTCTATCTCAGTCTGTTTCTATCTATCTATCTATCGGTTAGGAGAAGGTGTTGCCCTTTCATAAATGACATTGATGGAGTTTATCTTTTCTTATTGCATCTTGGTATATAGTCATGGTTTGCATCTATCTTAGTTTATCTATCTATCTTTCTATCTATCTATTACAGTCTGTCCATTTCTATCTATCTATCTATCTATCTATCTATCTCAGTTTGTTTCTATCTATCTATATATCTATCTCAATCTGTTTCTATCTATCTATCTATCTATCGTAGTCCATTATCTATCTACCTTTCTATCTATCTATCTATCGTAGTCCATTATCTATCTACCTTTCTATCTCAGTCTGTTTCTATCTATCTATCTATCTATCTATCTATCTATCTATTACAGTCTGTCCATTTCTATCTATCTATCTATCTATTACAGTATGTCCATTTCTATCTATCTATCTATCTATTACAGTATGTCCATTTCTATCTATCTATCTATCTATCTATCTATATATCTATCTCAATCTGTTTCTATCTATCTATCGTAGTCCATTATCTATCTACCTTTCTATCTCAGTCTGTTTCTATCTATCTATCTATCTATCTATCGTAGTCCATTATCTATCTACCTTTCTATCTCAGTCTGTTTCTATCTATCTATCTATCTATCACTTTCTTCATCTCTCTCTCTCTCTCTCTCTCTCTCTCTCTCTCTGAAATGTATACTACTCTTTCTCTTACCTTTTTTCTCAACCTTTTAGTCTCTCGCTTTTCAATTTAGATTTACCCCCAAACACTCTCTCTCCCTTCCTCTCTCTCTCTCTCTCTATTTTGGTCTTTCTTTTTTTTTCCACTCTCTCAGTGTTACATTTTTTTATACATTCCCGTTCTCTAGTTTTTCAATTTTGAAATAAATCTGGTTTAGACTATTCTAGTTCCACGTGCCATGTTTAATGGATGTCAGTTATCAGTTATCTCCTGTTAATTTCCCGCTGAAAGTTCTCCACTGCCTTAACCGGGTATTGAACTCACAACATTTGGGTCGTGTCACTGGTTCTAACTAACGCCTTTATCCACTGTGCCATGTGTCCTTGAGGGCATTCCAACCACCTAAAGAAAGCCGTAGAGTACAACGGCTGAAACGTGGTAATAAATAGGGCGACAAAGAAGAATAAAGTTTACAGTAATATCTGCCTATTTCGACAGCACCGGATGTAACAGCAAAATTGACCAAATCGTGTAAGAGCAGGGATAATTGTTCACTCCACAAAATGTTTAATATCTAAAAGACCACTAAACTAATTGAGCTTCTTTTTTCCAGATAAGACGCTTAGCCATCTTGACGCCATTTGTCGTAAGTTATTTTGAGTTATTCAGCTAGAAAGGGAACAGGTTAAAATCGTTTTGTGTCAGTCTCACTGTCTTGCCAACTGAGCAATGGTGAGAGAAAAAAGATTATCCAGGCCTTCAGTAATGGTAGCAACATTCATACTCTGGCTTCCATCTTGAAAGTCTATTCAAGAGAAGGATGGATATGTTTAAAAAATATGGAACAGTAGAGAGGAAGACTGGATCAGGAGGTCACAATAGGAAGAGGGATCATTATTTCAACATAGAGCTAAATACATTATTACTGTTCAGAGTAGCGTCCAATAGTGTTATAAAACATCGAATTCCAGTAAGATATCTTTAATCATTTCTACGATACAACGACAATTTGTTGTCACACCCGATAAAATGATGACACCTTTCTGCCGATTTACTACTGCGCTTAAATTCATAAGGTCAACGTGCCAAAGACGAAATCTCATTAGAATTGTCATGTGAACATTTATAGAAAAGGCACAGAGCAGCTACAATTCGTCATGACGGTAAGAATGTAGAAATATTATGTCAGTACCAACACCTGAATGAGAAGCAGAGAGAATGAAACCGTGACAGAGAGAGAGAGAGAGAGAGAGAAGAGGAGGAAAGGAAGATAAAAAAATTTGGAATCGAAAGAAATAGGAGGAAAAGCAGAAAAGAAGCTGTTGAGAGACACGTTCCCTATTTAGTGTGCAACGTGATTGCACCGTTATCCGCAGGTCAACCAAACCACAACTGAATCTCTGGAGCTAAGGGGTAACTGTCTATCGGGCTGTCACATGGTGCTTAAGGGCCCCTTAACACATCAGACAGTTGTTCCTTTCAAATAGGAGATAATCGTCTTTTGCCTTCTTGCAAAGAGATTTCGGTTTGCAAAAGTTTTCAGAGTAAAACCAGTATTGCAAAACAAGGCATTTCACGCGCTTCGATTCTGCTTTTTAAAGGGCATTTTAACGAGGGGTTATACGCTTTCGGTGCGTGTGTGTGTGTGTGTGTGTGTGTGTGTGTGTGTGTGTATGTCTGTGTATGGAAGGGTGGCGTGTGTAGGAGTAAGTACAGTGGCACGCATTCACATTCAAGGATATTTTCTAATCCAATATGGTTGAAATTCTTGATGTTGGTTTCTTATCGGCAAATAGATTCCGGTCGAGTAGACGAACTCTAAAATTGTTGCTCAACAACAAAGAAAAAAGATACGCTTTCCCGTTTTGTACTTGCTTCTGAACTTTCCGTCTTAACCTTTATTTTACTCGCCTCCTCCTCCTCCTTCTTCTTCCTCTTCTTCTTCTTCTATTAATGTGTCGTTTTATAAGACTTCTAGTTTCCAAACTCTTCATCAAATGCTTAATCTGATTTGATTGCTATCGAACTTTTGAACTCCATTCCACTTCTGCTTTCGCAATATTTACGATTATTTTATTTACTTATTCTTAATCTTGTACATATGATGGCGCTAGTCAAAAGTTCAGAGAATGCAATATAATCTGGATCAATAAGCCCGTCGTTTGATACAACTTAAGTTTGATCAGAAGCTTTCGCCGTATAATTTTCGATCTATGTAATCTAGAAAGAAGCTCCGAATTAAGTGCATAGACAAGACAGTCAGTTATCTTGAAATAATGATAAGAATTAAATAACCCTAGCTTTTTTTTATCATAATTATACTACAGTTTTATTGACAATCCTACACAACGAGACATCAAATTAAATGGTGGAACTTAAATGTAAAGGAAAGCAAATTTTTCGCTGTCTTATTTTCCCAGGCACCGTGGAGCAATGGATAGCGGCTCGGATTGAGGAATCGGTGAGCCCAGTTCGTATTCCACTCGAATCCATTACATTCACTTACGTGCTAATACTCTTGGAAAAGATATGAATCCTCTTCTTCTAGCTATGGGTAAATAGCAGGGCAGACCGTGTTCTATAGCCGTTGATGGCAACTGGTCTACTGTAGAAAGAAATGGCAACCTTACTGCGGGAAAAATCTGCCTCGTCAGTCATGTATCGAAAGATACATGATCGCCTAAGCGTGTATCACACATGGCACATAACAGACTGAAATTCACTTACATACGTATGGCACATAATTGACTGACCTGCCGTATGGCAGAAGTCGTAACATCGCTCATATTTCGTGTCTTGTTGTATTTTTAAAAGACTAATATTGAAATTGAATAAAATAAAGAGAAGTATCTTTTTTTTTCATTTTCCCACCGATGTGTTGGGTAAGTCAATCACATTTTACTGGTAACCAAATCAAACAATAATTTATGTCTGGATTTCTGAGGTGAGGAGTTACATTATTTATATTCGGACCGTTATCCTCATCTTTGTTGTTGTCGTCACAACATCTCGGTCGTTGTAGCCTCCGGCCTTCCTCAGAGAATTCTGAACTGAACCCTTTATTTAATCTACAGGGGTAAACTGTTCTCGTTCCAATGCCCATATCTAGGAATGAGGACAAAAGTCCAAATATAAAAAGTCTAAGGACTTGTTCAAATGTACAAGGTGCGATGGATAAATTGCCATCTAAATGATGCAAAAATGAAACTAACACTGACATCATTTTAAAAGATATTTTTTACTAAAACTAGACAAAAATATCCAGAAATACTAAAGAGTAAATCTATTCAATAACATTGCCATTGGCTTCAACCACGGCCTCTGGACGACTTCGGAATCTCCTGCAACTCTTCTGGACGGTCTCCTTGTTTAAGTTGGTAAATGTCGCCATAATCCTTGCCTTTAGATCATCCTTGGTGTTACAAGGAGTTTAGTTGGTCACTCGCTCAACTCCACCTCATACATAATAATCAAGGTGGTTGCAATAGGGGAGTTAGATGGCGAGTTTTAAGGGTGATGTAATAGCAGAAATTGCCTGACAGTCATGACGAGGTTCAAATGCTTGTGTGACATGGTGTAGAGTCCTGTTACCAGACATAGAGTCTTTCTGCTTGACTCAGGGCAAAATTACCTCCTCATGGCACTTGATGTAGGTCTATGTGTCGAGTCTGAGACGCTCACCAAAAATTCAGGCGTTCTTTTCTTGACAGAACGATCAATAAGTTTTCCTAGCTACAGTACCTTCGTAATCACCATTAAACTCACCCAACTCTTTCAGAATCCTCTGCAGTGTCCACGGATTGACACCCAAATACTCAGAAATGTTTGTATTATAGCTTTCGATGCCAATGCCAAGCTGTACAGCATGCCGTTTACAAATTTCTGGCGGAGTGAATTGCGTCATCGTGTTCTTTTTCTCACAAACGGTGCCCAACTGATCCTACTACGCTGTGCCAAGTGGACAAACTCAAAAACAATCAACGTCCGTACGCGAAATCAAAATATAAATTGGCGACAATTTACCCATCGCACACCTGTACTTATGCGTGTGCATGCGTACTTGTGTGTGCGTGTGAACAATTTACCCCCCCCCCCGCACTCTGTATTGTTGTGCTGTCAGGCTTTGATCAGGTATATATCGGTCTAGGTAATCTACAGAGAATTCCGAACTGAACCTATTATTTACTCTACTTGGGTAGACTCTTCTCACTCCTCTGCTCATGTCTCGGAATTAAACAAATAGTCCAAGTATAAAAAGTTCAAGGACTTCTTCAGGTATATATCGATCTGAGTAACCTACAGAGTTCTGAACTGAACCCTTTATTTAATCTACAGGTGTATACTGTTCTCGTTTCACTGCCCATATCTTGGGATGAGGACAATAGTCCAAATATTTAAAATGTATCTATTTCTTCAGGTGTATATTGTTGTACCCTTCGGTCTTGATCAAGAATATATCCATCTTGATGATATACAGGGAATTCTGAACTGAACACTTTATTTAATCCACGGGGGTAGACTGTTCTCGTTCCACTGCCCTTGTATACGGATGAGGACAATAGTCCAAATATAAATAGTGTGAGTACATCTTCAGCTGTATATTGTTTCGCCCTGCGACCTTCCTAAGGGTAACATACGTGGAATTCTGAACTGAACACTTTATTCAATCCACGGGGATAGCCTGTTCCCGTTTCACTGCCCATGTCAAGGCACGAGGACAATAGTCCAAATATAAATAGCGTAGGGACTTCTTCATGTGTATATTGTTATGCCCTGCGACCTTCCTAAGATGTATATTCATCTGGGTACCATACGGGGAATTCTGAACTGAACACTTTATTTAATCTTCGGGAGTAGTCGGTTCTCATTTCACTGCCCATGTCTCGTAATAGTAACCTAGTGGACTATAGCGTCGGTTCGTTTATTTGTTGGCATAGTTAATGTGAGTTCAATCCTTGGGTCCGGCAATGTGTACTTAGTCTCAGTGGAAACAGGCGAGCTGTAACTGAGCAGTGTTAAAGGCATGGACTAGACCTAGGTAGTGGATTGTGTTACGTGTTGATAATTGTAACA